AGTACTTTTGTATGCAGATGATGTCATGTTGCTGACTGACAGCTGTAATGGTATGTGGGAAAGACCTTGGGAGATGGGGCGAAAAGATGCTGCCTAGGACAGTCAGATAAGAGACAGCATAGCCCACAGCTGCATAGTGGGCAGAGCAAGAGGCTCAGAAGGGACCCTCCCCAAATTCTCAGGCTGTGAAGGTGATGGCAGCAGAATTGTACTTTCAGGCCTGCAAGATTCTGTTAATGTAATTTTACAATAAAGTAGAATTAGTTTATCTGGTAGTATTTCCTGCCTGGTCTACCTAGTAAGGCTGACATAGCCCTAATGATTTGCAATGAACATTAGATGGATCATATGATGCAATGAAAAATATGGATCAGAAAATTAGTCTATCAAAGACCAAATTAGTTGTGTTTGATAGGCAAAAAGTAATGAACCATTATATGTTATAAATCAGTGGTGAAAACCTGAAACAAGTAAATGTATTTGTGTATGTGCAGCATACCGACACATGTAGGATTCTCCCCAAAAATAATGTTCAAAATCTTGGTTTGTTTACTTAACTATCTCTGTCTTGTCTTGGAATGAATGGGTCTTCTTCAATCAGTGACTGGATCTGAGATCGTATGCTTTCTATAGCCTGTTGAGTATAATATAGACTCTTTTTAGAACATAATATATTTTATATGCAATAGTGATAACACATTATTCTCACATTTAAAAAAAAGATGCATAAGCAGCACTTAATGCATCATTCACAGAATAGGCTGAACTTGCCAGTGAACCATGTCAAAAAATCTAGAAAAGAATGTCTTCAAAGGGCAGCTCAGTCCAGAAAATGATATCTTCAAAAGGCAGATATCTTCAATCTTTACTAAGAGTTTCTTTTTTGTATATATAATATTTATTAAGAATTTTGATTATAGTAGTAAAATCTAATAAGAACTAAACTTAAAGAAAGAAAAGAGAATAGAAAGGAGTAAAAAGTGCAAGGAAAAAGAAAAAAAGAGAAGAAAGAGAAAAGTAAGACTATAATAAAGAGAAAAGAAATATATAAAATACTTCCAACCTTCATCAAAACATGTATAAACAAATTTAGGGACTCTTCACCCCCTCTAAGGTTACAAACATTTATCTTTTCATCCCATCTCCTATCTCTTATCTATAAATAAATCCATAAAGCATAATCTTTTGAGTCAGCAGAAGGTCCATAAAGGGTTGCCAGAAATAACAACATATCTTGTTTTAACCTTGGTGAAATAAACCAACTTTATATCGGTTTATATATATTTATATTCCTTCTTTTTACTTCTAACAGTCTTAATCTTTAGTTCATTCAAATATTGTCGTAGAATTTGATTTCTCTTCATTTCTTCTTTGTTTCATTGCACAGAATTCTTCAAGGCTTTATCAAGCCCTCTTTTGTAAATCCAATAGGAAAATGTTATCCAAGCCACTCTCTTGGTTTGTCATTTGTATTTCCCATTTAAATTTTAAAACTTCAGCCAGTTTCTTTTGTAGATCCGGTAAAACATCCTTTTCTAAGTAATTCTCATGGCTTGTCAGTTGTAAATCCACTTTAAATACCACCTCTACCTTGTCAGATAAAACTTGTTCTACATCTGTCATTTCTTCAATAACATCTTTTGGGCATAGTCTATCCATAGAAGCAGACATCATTACTGACATTGATGATATTGTGGCTACTATTCTGTGATTCTGTTCTTCAAAAGTCTGCTTCAGATTTTTATTGTTATAACATTTTGAATCCTTTTATATACTTGTATATCTTTCATCTACCTAAAATTTTTAGTTGCCTCTAGTGTCCAATTTTTGAAATCATAAAATTGCTTATCTTTGTTATGTCTTGTAAAAACCAAAGCAGGATCTATTTCCCACAAGGCACTGTTTGTTCTTTATAATTAATTTCAAAATCCTATTGTAAAAGTTTCAATATTCCAATTTTATCTGGACCCTTTGTCCATTTATAACTTTCTAAGATCAAAATCTTACTTATTTTTTGGTTGTTTATTTCTGATTTTTTAAATTCTTAAGCTTATGATTTTTTTTTTTTCATTCAGGATTGAAGGGAGACTCACTCAGTGTTTTCAAAATTGTCATTTCAAAGGTCTCTAAATAGCTTAGAAGTAATTTATGAGCAATTTCTGAAAGTGATTAGAAAGTGAGATTTGCAAACCTAGTGCCCTTTAAAAGTCTCTGCTGCAGTTGCGAGCAAGATGGCTAATCCTGTTATCTCCTGGCTCTCAAATCCATGGAAAATTGCTGTCCTGCGGTCTCCTTGAGAGGAGCAGTTGTCTGGAGCATATGTGGGCGATCTCCCATCCTCTTCTTATCTGGAGAGATTCCAAAGAACCAGTCTACTTACCTTGGTCTTTGCCACGGTTGTCGTCTCTGCTTTCACAGAACCATCTTCAGTTCTTATGGAAGTCCATAAAAGTTTATTTTTTAAACAGTTTTTGAAAGTTTTAAAAAATTATTTTTACATTGGAGTAGAATTCTTCCTGCATTGGATAAGCACAACTTTATAGACTTATCTCTAGAAAATCTGGAAGTTGTTGTAGGGTCCTTTGTTCAAGCCTGCTATGTCTGCATTAAAAAGGGTCGAAGAAAGATATTCTTAAGACTTTTGTCTGTGAAACCCTTGAAGCTATTTGCATAAACCTGTCAGGATCTACAGCTGTAGTAGTTGGCAACATGTAGCTGACCTTAGCTAAATGTTGAAGCTAAGCAAGGCTGAGTCTGATTAGTATTGGATAAGAGGCCAGCTGAGCAGTTGGCCAGACTGAGAAATTAAAAAAAAAAAAAAATCCCCAAGAAGGCCATGGCAAATGATTTCTGTGATGTTGCCAAGAAGTCTGTATGGATTCAGTCACCAGCAATTCACTTCAGTTTGAGGACTTTGTCGCCTATTATCTATCTTATTTTCTTCCCATTCCACAAAATAATGAAGTGACTGAAAACCTTTTGAACTAAATCCTCTGGTTGAATCATTTATTCAAGCAAATCTTGTTGCCTTTAAGTCTCAATTTTCAAATCAAATTCTACCCTCTAAACCTTGAATTCAAATTGGAATTTGGCTGATTAACACATTTTGATTTGCTAGATACACTGAACATTGCTTCTACAAAGAATGTAAATGTAAAAGATCAGATTTTTTGAAATTCACATATTTATAAGCTTTAGATAATTGTGCTAGTGAAAACTCAGTGACTTCTGGTAAAATCCTTTGTAGGGCAGTGCAACTATAGGACCTACAACAAATATCTGCCCAGCATTTTTTAATATTGAAAAAAAGTTAGAAGATAATTCCTTAGTTCTCTCCTACAGATAATTTGCACTTAAGATAGAAAGTTATTCTTAATATTTGACTTCCCCTACTTGTATTTAAAATAATTGCTACCTTTTTCTTAACTTCACTGAATAGGACACTTTTTGTTTCAGAATTTTTTTTTATATTTCACATTATCATTATAACTCCAATATACCATCAATTTCCTAATTTAAGAACACCTAGTTCTCTTTATCTGTCTTCAAATACTTTGCAATCTTTACAGAGTTTCTTTACAGCATTTGGCATACCCATTATGAATGGTTATCTCAGTATATCCTGCTTCTTACTATTGATTACTTGATGGGAAAACATGTATTCTTAAAAATTGGCAGATAATTTATAGATCTGGATAATCACAAGGCATCAGATTTGGGAAAAATGCTGCTCTCCTGGCCACCAGGAGCCATTTGGTTTCCATTTCTTTTGTGGTATATTATTGATGCAAATACAGGTAGTCCTCACTTAACGGTCACAAGTCCATTGCTAAGTGACATGGTTGTTAAGCAACACATCACAAGACCATGATGGACTTATAACCTCACTTCCACTGTGGTCATTAAATGAATCACCTGCGGTCATTAAGTGAGACATCATATGACCGTGACTTATGATTTTACTGCCAACTTCTTCATTGACTCTGCTTGTTGGAAGCCAGCTGTGAAGCACACAAATGGCAATCACATGACTGTGGCATGTTGTGATGATCATAAACACCCATCAGTTGCAAAGCGCCCAAATCTTGATATCATGACCATGGGGATGCTGCAATAGTCATAAATGTGAGGACCAGTCTAAAGTTACTTTTTCAGTGCTGTTGTAACTTCACACGGTTGCTAAACAAGGCAGTCATTAAGTGAGGACTACTTGTATATTCTTGCCACAGTTGTATATAGCTCTAAGTTATCTCTAAGTCTCCAAATCTAACATTTTCTATTTATGTGGTATGAAAATATTTAAGAACTTTAAGTAACAAATATCTTAGTAAAAGGAACTTATTTATGTATAAATATAAAGTCAGGGCTTTGGGTTCACATACTCATTGCTCTCTCTTCCCTTAGTGCTCTACTCCTTAGTGCTCTTCTCCTCCTACTCCTTACTCCTCTATTTTGCTTTGCAAAAACAAAAAACAAAATCCAAAAACCTATTTCTATTTTTTTAAAACCAGAAAAAATGAATTATTATTGGTAGAAAAAACAGAAGGCAGGGGATCTTTTGTAAGCAGAAGACTCCTGAGTGTATATGAAATTTTTGAATAACTTCTAATTATTTTCTACTGAAATCAGTATGATGAAAGTGCCTTAAAGTTAACAAGAAGAGTTTTGATTAGTCATGCCCATTTATAAATGCTACATACTATTAATATGTTCAGTATGAAGCAGATTATGCACAGAATAGTGTCTGAATATTAAAGTGAAATACAGAAAAGCAGTTATTTGTCATTGTGAAGAGCCATACACTGTTCCACCTCTGAGAGATACTAAAAATGGAAAGCTGATTCCTAAAATGGAAAGCTACAAAATGGAAAAAGGAATTAATTTTTTGGTTCTCATCTCAAAGGTGATATACTTTTAACATTTTGAATGTCAGCTGTCACCATAAAAGTGGGTATAAATAAACTTTAGATCTGCTCACTCAGTTGCTGTCCTTCTATCAGGATCTGTCACTGTGAGGGAGATGATGAAAGCCCCCTCATCACGCCATGTCGCTGCACAGGGACCCTACGTTTTGTTCATCAGGCTTGTCTACATCAGTGGATTAAGAGCTCAGACACACGTTGCTGTGAACTCTGCAAGTATGACTTCATAATGGAGACTAAACTCAAACCTCTCCGAAAGGTAAGATGCAATTAAATCCAACCATCTGTAACCTGTCATTACGTCTATTTTCTATTTTGTTTGATATATGAAACTATGTGTAGTTTTAGTTGTATTGATTGGTATTGCGCTATCCGTTCATTGAATTATTTTTGTAAGCGGGAGCTAGCTGTTACTTCTGAAAAGCTGATACAAACTTGTGAAAGGACTTGCTTTGATACACATGCCATATATACATAACATTCATGTTATCCAGAGACAGACAATGTTTCTAGATTGAATGCCACAATTGGCATTTGAGTAGTATGTTGGAGGCTGTATACCCTGTTGTAGGGAGAAGGCAGGACAATCCTAAACTGGGTTTCATTTAGTTGACATTTTAAATCTAATTATCATTTAATATAGTAATATAATTACTATCTAATCATGTATTTATTCATTCTTCCCTTCTGTCCCGTTAAACTTCACATTGAAGGAGGCCACTGGTCTCTGGGAGTCATACCCAAACCTTTGGGCAGAGGGATAGGGGTGGAAACATGCAGCACAGGGGTCTCTGGTTGTGCACTATTGCTATAGTTCTGTGAATTGATAGCGATATTATTTGAATAGTGCTGCAATTATTATTGCCTAGTAAGTATGCTTTAGTTACAAACCCTAAACATGCCTTTTCTGGTCTGTGAATGTTTTCATATCACATGTATTTCTGCAGATTTTCCAAGGGTTTTAACCACAGCCAAAAGTTAACAAAATATTTACAGTTATGGGTGGGCTCTTCATGTTTCATTTGATCAATTCTTTGTTCAGCAATTTGGGAAAGGAAATGCAACTTCTTTTGTGCATTAGAATAGAAATCTTTATTGTCATTGTACAACTTGTACAATGAAATTAATGCCACCCCAGT